TCGGAATCCTACTTCATCTTGTTTTTTTTAAATTTTTTATGTTCTTGTTTGTGTTGATTTTTTTATAATATTTCGTATTTTCGTTGGTCATTCGGAATCCTACTTCATCTTGTTTTTTTTAAATTTTTTATGTTCTTGTTTGTGTTGATTTTCTAAATAATATTTATAGCATTTCTTTAGTTGCAATTGTGATACTTGTTGATTTTACACAAACAATAATTTTCTTTATTATTATTATCATTGTTATAACATTTATGAAAGACAGCATTGAATAGACATGCTGAAAGAATATCAACTAAACTGATGACAAGAGAAACTAATACTAGTCTTGACACAAGTCCTTGTTCAAGAATCTGTGAGCTTAGTGAGCTAAGAGTGTCCATCTTCCCTGCTATTCCTGTTCTTCCAGGCTGTTGTCAAGTTCATAATTATCATTGCATATCATAAGTCATAATATTAATTAATTGTTTGTTTTTTTAAATAAAATAAAATAACACACTTGATAAAACATTAACATGTAAAATCAATACCTTCTTTTAGCTGGAAACCTCCACTAAAGTATTGCAGTATCGGTAAGCTGATTCCAAGCATAGCTTGGTAAAAAAATAACTTGCTTCTTCCAGAGCTGCAGATCTGAGCATGCGCGACCACACCCAAATTTTGGAGCACATGGCAAGCTTCTTTAATTAACAAAATGGCAGCATGCACCTAAGATGGCTCGATCCAGCAGTCACAGTATCACTTTTTCCTTACTTGAAGAATGATCTGATGGGACATGGACCTGCGCATAGACTGTTGGAGTAGATTGGTGTAAGAATTATTCTTGTAGCACCAACTGATACTGAGATACACACCGACAACTGGATTGACAGGACTTGATGATGAAGATGAAGATGAAGATGATGATGAAGATGAAAAAAGGTGGCTGAACAAAACGGCCGGTTCGCCGATTTTTGACTTTTCGCTTAGACAAGGTCTAGAGCCACGCCAGTTGTACCATTGGAGTCCTCTGGTCAAGATAAGGTCCTCTATAAAGTCTGGTAAGCATAGGAGCTCGTTTTCCCAGTATAGCAAGGCTGCAAAAGTCGTGGCAGCCATTTTGTTTGGGGGTGAATCCTACTTAGTAACGCTACCGCGTTACTAACGCGTTACTAATAGTACAGGGACTTTGGCCCGATTTTTGAGTAACTTTAAAAATTCATAAAAAATTGAATTTTGGTTGGAATCAGCTCAAACTTACTACACAATATAAGAACATGTATATGTATCAGAGAAAATTATTAAAATGGAGAATTCTCTCCTAGTCATTTTTAGCCCAATTTGGTCTAAGATCCTGTACTATAATACATGTAGTACAGGGGCTTTAATCCAATATTTGAGTAACTTTTAAAATTTAATTTTTATTGGAATCATTTTCATACAGTACAAGAACATGTAAAAATGGAAAATTCTCTCTTCACAATTAAAAAAAACTATTTGGTATAGTATATGGTATTTTTTCAAGTATTTGAGCAACTTTAAAATCCGCTGACAAGAACCTGCATGAGCACTATGCCAAAATCCTGTGGGAAACCCTCCCCTTATCATAGCATTCATTAAGATACAGTTAATGTTATGTGTACTGTACATGAAGATTGTTGTCTGAGTGGAGCTTGCTCAGCCACCTTAATACTATAGGTTGGGATATATTTGCGGCTGCTTATTTTCGTGATGATAAAAACTAATAAAAAGGTTCAATTAAATTGAGTGAATTGACCCATCATTCTATTGATAAAAGTAAATTTTGATCTAACATATAGAGTATTGATTTTTGAGTTAGTGGAAATTTTACACAAATCATAGGTGTCAAGAGGACTTAAGAGAGAAAGAAAGAGAAGAGAGAGCAAGAGTACGGAGAGAGGAGATCAAGTTAAGAGACCAACTGATACATAATGTGGAGCAATTAGAGCAAAGAAGAATAGAACTACAACGAGAATTGAGACTAAGAAAGAGTTCATCATCATCACTGGAACCAAAAACGAAAAGAAAGAAAAACAAATAGTAACAAATTATAATTTCATACTCACTTGTAAAATATTATGTTAATTACATGAACATGAAGTGTATTTTTGTGACTCGTGAGTCATGCCATGTAAATGCCATTATAGGCATAGATACTAGATTGGAGACAATCTGTGACTACTTTGATCTTTTAAATAACAAGTTTCCCAATTGAAACAGCTATAGCTAGCATATAATGCTCCTTGAAGAACATTACGTGTAATACCAAACTACATTCCTTGTACAGTATAACTACTTGGTGTTCCAGACTACTGTGCTTTGTATGAAACAATAGTGTTGTATTTCAGCTAGTTGTACTACAAGGTTGTTATGTAAGCTACATACAAGACTATAGAATGTACCATACATCATGTTGTACTAGCTCCTCCTCTTCAACACAGAGAAGAAGTCTCTCTCTCTCTCTCTCTCTCTCTCTCTCTCTCTCTCTCTCTCTCTCTCTTGTAGGCAGGCTTTTAAGGTATGGATAATAATAGTGATAACTGTACCCATCCTGTGAGCACTAGCATCACTTATATACTACTAGTAGTAGGGACTACACAAATAGTGGCTTGTATTGTGACATTGATCATTGTCCTGGTCATCAGTTTCTACAAAGACATCATACAAAGGTTAATTGTATATAAACTACTCACAATGTTAGTCTTCTCTGTGGTCCAGCTTCTTTATCCAATTTTTTCTAAATATGATAGCTCCAAGCTACACAAGATAGTAGTCTTGCTTGTTCCGAGTGTTGCAACAATAACCTACTCAATTAACATTGGATTCACCTTCTGGTTAACAATTGTCCTTTATCTTTGTATTGTACACCTCAAAGAATTGAGAAATCTTAGAAAACTTGAGCTGATTTCAATCATGACATCTGCTGTTCCTCTATTTTTTGTCGTTTTCATTCCTTTTGCTAGTTATGATGACTGCATGCAAACATGGGAGGTTGTATTCTCCAATGGAGGAGGCAATAGGTTAGAATACATCTACATAACTGGCTACTGCATATCCGGAGTAGTTTACTTAATAATATCAACACTATTGATTAGTATTTTTATCAAAGTTGCCCTAAAATCAAGACCAAATCAAGAGAGAGATGACGTTTTGCCATTACTGACTACAAATAAATGGAAAACACTGTTGAAGCAGTTGCTCCCCATTGTGATATATGTCATAGCCATAACAATATTGGCTGTCATATACTTCCTTTTCTCAGTAATCAATTACAACAAAATGAACCTAAGGTCAAATGGAGTTCTGACAGTAGCCATTTTTTGTTTAGCATCATCTTTTGGTTTCCTAACAAGCCTTGTGATCTTACTGTTTATCTGTATATTGAAATGCAAGAGCAAGATGAAGAGAATAAAAGGAAAAGGGCTCCTTGATTATGCAGAGAAGATCGTTCATGATACTGCATATGATAATAGTAATGTGTTTACCAGTGAAACAATAGCTTCTACTAATGTCAAAACTGAATATTATTATACTAGAATGTCATCTTCTACTAGTAAACTATGAACAATATAATTATTCTAGTTTTGTCATGTTTTATTCAAATTTATTGTAATGTGATGTTACAAAAACAAATAACATGGGCATCATTTTTGCCACCAAAATAATATTTAAGGTAAATCCTTAATTTCTGTTTCTAGATACCATAGAGTATATATTTCATCAATACTTTTAAGCTTGTTTTGTAGAAGACTTTATATGTGAGCAAAATTAATGTTTATGACTGAACTAATCAATAGCAAAACTAATCAATATATAGCTAATACTAAAAAAATGTTCAAAGCAATAAAAATATATTGTAGCATGCACACTCCACAAAATAGTAACTAGAGTTCTACTCTACACACAAATAAAAGTTTTAGTAATTAATACATAGCAAAGGAAATGAAAATGGCAATAAAAAATAGGCCAGCCATTGGTAGCAGATTTCCAACACCATCAGGAGGAGCAGTAGTAGCAGGAGGAGCAGTAGTAGCAAACTCTCCATATAGTTCAGCTTAATAAATAAATTATCAGTTTAGATTTATAAAAAATGATTAACTTACCTGCTTCAGGGCAATTTTCAAAGTCATCCTGTAAAAATTAGATAAATTTTTTTACAAAAATTATAGATTTACTCACATAGCATATCTCAACACAAGAGGGGCACACTATTCCTCCATGATATGTGATGCCATTTGTAGTCTGGTTAACTTGTACCTATACGTGTATACATATACAGCACTTAGATCTAGCACATGATTAAAAAGAGTACAACATACAACTTGTCCTGCTCTACTACAAGTATATGACTGTCCAAGAATCATTATAGTAACTCTACTGTTTGAGCATTGGTACTAATAAATAATAGGTTTATTTTAAGTAAAATTTTATAATTGATTATAGTTACTTCATAGCATCCAGCACTGTATTGAGCTGTATATGTGTTTGAGCCATTAGTAATTTGCCAGTTTCCAGAGTGATCCACACAACGTGATCGAGGACCATATGTTTCTGCTAGCTCATTATTTCCAGCTATTGTAATTATAAATAATTTAATTAAAGAATTATTATTATATTACTTATTGGGTTTCCACTTTTGCATACACCCCTTTTATCCGAGCTACTCTACATATATTGTAATATCAATGGATAAAACTAATATAACAGCTGTAATACTCACAGTAGCTATACTAATATAATAAGGACAGAAATCTGCAGCAAATACTCGACCTCCAATAAAATTATAATCCAGATTAGATGAGGTGTTAAAATTTGCACCTGAATTCAAATACTAAAGCCAAATTTGTTTTTAAATAAAACTACACTAGATAATACCTGATATTCCACAGGAACTTGAAAAGGAAAGTTAATAAGACTACAAAAAGCAACTGCCGTCCTGTCTGAATCACAACTCAGGTTTGTAGGATTATTAAGATCATTTAAAAAATCACAGAAAGGAGTGATTGGTTCATTTCTGTATTTCTATAAATGAGACTCTATTCCTTGCGGAGTGTATACTTACTGTGCTCTTTTTGATTGGATATATCCTCCACAGGATCCAGTAGCATAACCACATCCATCACCACGTCCCCAAACAAGAATACTTGCATTACTGTAATCAACTTTGTACCAACTATAATGACACAAAATAGCATGTTATCAAATAGCCTCACCCCAAAATGATGGGACGGGGTGAGGCTAATCATTAACATACCCGCTATCTTCTAGTAATGCATAACTAAAGTTTGAGAATACAGGATTACTTGAGATAAAACCAGTCATAGCTTCATTCTACATAAGATGCAATTAAGAGATAAAAATTATACGAGCAGAAGTTGTAAGGAAATTACATCTAATAATCTTTTCTCCCAATGAGATCCAACAGTGCCACCAGCACCTTGATCCTCTAACTGAACACCCTCCAGAGTGTCACAACCAAAATGACGCTTTCCAACCTCCTATAAATCAAGAAATTAATATTTGACACTATACAATTATTTCTATAAATACATACATACCACAACTTTTGGAGTAACTAATTGAGTAACTATTTTGGATATTGGCCCATTTCTTGTCTGCCAGTCAGTATAGTTTACTATTTTAATAGTGCTTTCTCCTGGTATGCCAACACTATTAAATATATTCAATGTAAGCAATTCAATGTAGTAAAAAGTCAATTGGAAGCACTGCAACTGACCCAAAAGCATTAAATGGTGGATTGCCATTAGCATCTCTAGATGTTCTTGGATTTCCATTCTCATCTCTGTACCATGCATATAAGTTAGATCCAAAACCCTACAATAATGAATCAATTACTGCATCATTGACATCATACAGACAAAATAAATTCACTTTAAAAAATAATACTAATGCAATATTAAATATAATTAATGGCATGTCTAGCATAATAACAATTTGCACTAAAGGTTAATTATAATTCTTACCAATACGTGAAAAATTTCATGTTTTGCAACATCAAAAATAAACTGATCATCACTGCTACCTTCAATAAATAATGGACAGAAATTAACAATACCTACTATTGGCCTGTAACAGAAAATAATAATAATAACAATACTCTACATGTGCAGGAAAAATGACACAAGTAAATAATCAAAAAATAAGAATTATTGTGACACATGGTATAATTAATTAAAAATACATACAGCTCACAAAGTACCTGTCATATTCATCCTCCATTTGGCAGGCTCCAGCATAAGCAATTGTACCATTACTACAAAAGAGAGTAGTTCCATATACATACAAAACCAGGTCAGCTTCAGTGCCGGCTCCATCTCTGATGGTTTCAGTACAAGTGTTATTATTTCCATTGCACTCAAAACAACGCTATGTAAAGTAAATTTTATATATCACACAATCTACATGAAACAATTAATGCTGGCACCTATACTTGCTTACATCCAGACAAGCATACGGTACCACATGTATCTCCTAAATTTTGCTGGTTCAGATATTGCAGATTGTTTACCGTTTCAAAAAAATTAAAAAAATCATTTATAAAATCTAGATGCAGTAATTTTAAAAATATTTTTAATTTTCATTTTTGCAATTAAAATTATGAATATCAAAACTTTGGTTTATTACAAAGTCTAGATTGAACATATTATAAGTAGATTATTGCAGGAATTCATCAATAGGCTTACTTACCTGTAAATGCTCTGTTGGTGTGTCAAAGATACCACAGAGTCTTGCATCATCTGCACATTGATAAAAGCAAGGCTTGGATGAGTCAGTCAAAGTTTCATTCTCACATTGCCTATAAAATTTTAATCACAAAAAGCAACATTATATCCGTACCTGTTTATTAGAATTGGATCTGGATTTCTCCTCACAGTAAGAATTGACTGAAAATTTTTTGTCAACGCTGTCATCATAGCCTATAAAATTAATGCCCATCACAATGAAAAAGTAATCTCAAAATGGTTCCATACCCTAACTCTGTCTTGCGCTGGCTGAGATAATCTACAGCATAAAAAGTGTTTAATAATGTTTAAAGAACTATTTTCTTAACTTCAATAGTTTGTTTACACATGTGCAATTGTGCATACAATCTACATTCACGCACCAATTTCCTATGTGCATAAAATAATTCCAAATATTGAATACAGGCTACTTAAAAAGCTATTGTGTAGTCAAGTGGTTATAAGGTTTAGGGTTTGTAATAATGAATAAGTTAGTAATACTGGGTGCCTATTTCCTTGCTTCAAACTATAAGAAGCATTTAAGAAAGAATCTGCTATGATTGCTTTCATCAACTTACACACACAGCTGGTATTTCTTTTTATTAAGAAATTTTCACTTATAATATTGTGTGCTTAATACACGCTAAAGGGCATATATATAATCTCATAAACTCACGATCCATCATGTGCAGTAAAGTTGTAATGAACAAAAATACGGATAGGTTGATTAAAAGCAGCATTTCCACCAGCATTTTTTGTCCTCTTATTTGAATCTTTAATGTGTGTCTTGCTTAATTTGAAAAACTACAAATTTAAAGAAAAATTAGCACAATACACACACTAAGGATATTTATATACTTCTTCAGGTAAATCTTCATGAGAGCATTCATACTCATCGCTGATGACTGTGTTTGCCAAGGCCAAAGACAAAAACAAGAGGCAGTAGTATGAAGTCTTCATTCTTTTTTGCTAGACAACCACTGGAATGCAAAAAATAAATAAGCCAATTAATAATAGTGACATCATACATACATGTACATGTACGTCATAGTTACTAAGGCCTCGTTTACACGACGACGCTAGCCTAATCTGCATCGTTTTTGCTATTACTGTTTTCAGGTGCTTACACTAAAGGTGGATTCTCAATATGACGCATGTGCGTGCTGTATAAACCAATGGGAGCATGCATCAATGCGTCAGATTAGAAAACATTTCTATTCTGACGCATTGACGCATACTCCCATTGGTTTATACAGCACTTCTGGTTGTGACGCTAGCGTATGAAAAGCAATGTGGCATATTGAGAACCTGCCTTAATCCAGCAGCTGTGTTAAAAATATATCCGTTTTACTTTAAAGCGTAGTCGTGTAAACCAGGCCTAAATTTAGAGTATTTTTAAGCCTCACAACTATATCTAAGGGCATCTAGATGACATATATCATAATGAAACTACATCAATGATGAATCAGAACTGGCTCGATGCTTTATGAAGACCAATTAACACCACCAGTTAAATGTTGACAATGCACATTAATAATAAGAAGTATTATCGTTACTTTAAAATTTTGTTCAAAAAGATACATGCATTGTGCACAGTGCATGCACACCAAATGTTGCAAAAAATGCAACAAGAACCTGTATCCTCCAATGCTAAATAGATATTACATGCATAATCTATATGTGTGGCCAACCATACAATGCATAGGGCAGATTCAACTCACAAATGTACTTTATGTTGATATACTAATTTATAGCTGGCTTTTCGTGGGCATATGATAACCAAAAGTACAACTAACTGAGCCTACTGAGGGGCGTGAGTGTACGTGTAGGCCTAAATGCAGCTGTCACACAATCATGGATGCACTCCACACTAAGCACCGGCAGCATGTAGCATCATATAATTTCGCTGAAACAAAATCATTACAGTTTCTGCTAGAAAGAAGCGCGGGGCCCCCGTGCACAAAATAATGACTAAAACTGAACTGAAGGTTTTTTAAACAAGACAAAGAAATACATATTATTTTACCAGGTATAAGGCCTTTATGAAGTAGTAGACTGTATTTGGCTTTAGTTATTTCCGTCTCCCACAGCTACTGTATCTGGTTCCTTCAATTCTTGGCCTGGCAAGTGGTAACTAGGCAAGCCAGCATAGATATTATAAATTCTGCAGATCAAGTCATTTATAATACAATCTGTCACGTGGGCAACTGTAAACACTTTAATTAAACTTCAATTTAATTATTTTATAACAAGTGTTGTAAAATCAAAAGATGGCTATAAAAAGACAATATAGAGTAACAAACTTAGTCTAGACATGAAAGGAAGTTCCAATTTCCAGTATGCACACAAATGTAGACTTCAACCTTTGTATCATTGCATCATTTCGTCATTATAAATTCCACAAAATAATACATAAATTTTGATCATAATTATTTTTAAAAAATAATATAACATTAACATTCAGGTTATCAAGGTTCGTGATTGGTTACAGTACATAGTTCATCACATGCCAGAATAAGCAGGGCCGCCACCCTCAGGTGGGACCCAGTTAATGTTCTGACTAGGGTCCTTTATATCACAGGTCTTGCAGTGTATGCAGTTCTGTGCATTAATCTGTAGTCTCATACCCTCCCCTTCATCAACAGGCACATACTCATAGACCCCAGCAGGACAGAACCTTCCCTCCGGTCCATCGAATATCTTAAGATTCCTCTCAACTGGAATGCTATCATCCATCAGTGTTAAATGAGCAGGTTGATCATGTTCGTGATTGGTACCAGTCAAAGCTACCGACATCAGGAGATCAAATGTCAGTACTCCGTCAGGTTTTGGGTACTCTATAACATTACACTGGTCAGCTGGACGAATGTGAGCGTGGTCAGGATTACGAGGGCGGAGAGTATAAGGCTCTTTCCCACGGAGCAAAACAAAGAGGCTGGTATAAGCAATCCCTCCATAGAGTCCTAGACGTGTATTGAACGATGGCCTAAAGTTCCGTACTTGTTTCAGTTCTTTCCACACCCAGCTGCTCTTTACTCTCTCTTCATACTTGTCCAAGAATAAACCTATTAATGATTCACATTCTTAAGTTAATGATGATCTCACTATATGAGTAATGAGATGGAGTAATAGATAATTATAACTACATGTATGGTAAAGGTGGTTTTGTAACAAGACAGTATATGTGTACTAACAGTTTAATTATAACCATAGAGCCGTATTTACTGACTGCTAATGTGGCAGATTTTAGTAATGTTATGCTTTAACTTAAGTATTAGCTTTTGAAGATACAATAGTGCAATGTACTTTAAATCATAAGAGTAGAGATATACATGTTACACGTATAAAACATATATACTAGTGTATGTAGATGCACATGTACATGTACATGTATGATCACATGGTAGCATAACAGGGTTTCCCAAAAACATGCTCCATGTACATGTGAGTGCATGTTTCATGAGCCACATTTTTGGCCCAATTTTTGAGCAAGTTACTAAAATCCAATTGTGATCAGAATCAGCTCAGAATTTCTACACAACATCAGTACATGTACATGTATATGGATCAGAAAAAAATTATAAAAATGGAGAATTCTCCCCTTGACATTATTGAATAAAATTGGCTTAAAGATCCTGTGCTACAATCTTTGGCTCAATTTTGGAGCAACTTTTAAAATTCACCAACAATAAGCTGAGCACTACATGCATATGTATGTCATAATTCAGTGGGAAGCCTGTAGCATATGTAACACTGCCTGGCATAACAGTACCAGTACTAGGATCTTAATTATGCATGCAACATTGAGCAAAATTAATAATAATGTACTTGATAGGCAACACTATATTCCCTTTTTAGGTCAAAGCAGGTCGATACTACATGTACATGTAGTCATGTACATGTAATTGAAATGCCTAGTTCAATTATACTTTATCACGCTATGATAATTACCAGGTGTATTGTTACTCTTGGATGTAACGAGAGCTTCAAATGCCGATTCAGCAGCTAGCATTCCGGTCTTCATTACATTATGCGTCCCTTTGATTTTCGGTACATTCATGAAACCAGGACTGCAACCAATCAGTGCTCCTCCTGGGAAAGCTAATTGAGGTACATTCTAAACAAACAAACAAAACAATGACTTAAATACAGTCTAGAATTCTCTAGGACAATAACATACATGTACAATGGTAAATGTAGGTCATTGCCCTAGAGGGTTCTTTACTGACAGCCTGGGAGGAGAGCATGAGGCTGTAGACAGTACATGTATACTGTATAGGAGGAAATTTTTGAGGGATTTAAATTTGGTGAATTGCTAAATTTCGGTGATTGGCAAATTTTAATTTGACGAATTTGTCACCATGTACCATTGAGCATGAGCATTATGGCTCAAAATGGCAGGTTTTTATTTTGGCGAATGGCTATAAAAACACCAAATTTGTCAAATTTAACTACTTCCAAGATTTCCTTCTATACGGTAGCTGGTAATTTTTGTGAATTGTTTTGTATTTAATTTAGTGAATTTTATTTTGGGCCATGTGCCATTTACAAGTAATAGTTAAAATGGTGCAGGGTTTTAATTGGTCATTCATTTAAATTTCATTCCTCAACATAACAAGCTATAATATAATCCTAATTGATGCTCACTCACTATACATGTACATGTACATGTATTGTGCTGTTAATATTCAACACAACATATGCTTGCTTCAGTAACAACCAAACTCATGCATAGAGGGATCACAACACTGCTATGAACCATTGATAATACATAAATTATAATGATTAGATATCCAATGAAGCATAATGATACACAGTGGGAGGATTAGGTAATCCTAACAGTTTTAATAAGAATATCATAACATATAGAGGTAGCATATGTACAATGTGATGGATCATGTACACATAGTTCTGCCTATGGTGGTCAGGGGTGGCTGGAACAACCACCTCAACAAATGAACCAACCAGTTCATCACTTAGACCAACTAGCCAATTAATACTAATAACCATACATAAAGCATGATATTGTAGTCTACTAGTATGGTGTACATAAATTTAAAAGGAACAATATTAGTCACCAACCACCTCTAATTTTATTCTAGGCAGAACCCTGTGTACAGTGTGATGGATCATGTACTTGTATTCCTCCTTCATTGAGTGCTCTTGCTCCATACCCAATCCTCTTTCCTCCTTCTAACACTTTGCGAATGTGAGGATGTGTCTTCCATTTCTAAAAATTAAAAAAATCTCATAACAATCACTCCAATACACATACTGACGTGCATACATATATGCTAATCTTACTCCCACTCTCTCCCACTAATAGTATTGATTTAACTGTTATTATTACTCTATCAATGTTTATTCAAACAAATAACATCACTACTATTGTTATTGTAGTTAATTTTTCAAATTATGCACACCTGAAATTCTTTAAAAGGGCTCATGAAGGGATTAGCGTAATCCAATGCCACCTAATGAATGAGACACACAGCATAGTAATATACAGTATAGTAATATACAGTATAGTAATATACAGTATAGTAATATACAGTATAGTAATATACAGTATAGTAATATACAGCATAGTAATATACAGTATAGTAATATACAGTATAGTAATATACAGCATAGTAATATACAGCATAGTAATATACAGCATAGTAATATACAGTATAGTAATATACAGCATAGTAATATACAGTATAGTAATATACAGTATAGTAATATACAGTATAGTAATATACAGCATAGTAATATACAGCATAGTAATATACAGCATAGTAATATACAGCATAGTAATATACAGTATAGTAATATACAGCATAGTAATATACAGTATAGTAATATACAGCATAGTAATATACAGTATAGTAATATACAGTATAGTAATATACAGCATAGTAATATACAGTACAGTAATATACAGCATAGTAATATACAGTATAGTAATATACAGTATAGTAATATACAGCATAGTAATATACAGTATAGTAATATACAGCATAGTAATATACAGTATAGTAATATACAGTATAGTAATATAC